TGTTTGCTGCATTTGCATTTATATTTACTCTCTATTCAAATTTTCCTACAAAATATAAAGAACTGAGGAGTGGCTGAAGACTGTTGCACAGCTCTGTATGCACACACACACACACACACACACGGAGCAGAAACGATGGCGTTTGTGCAGCAGGCGATTCAGTGACATCAGTGTTTGTTTTAATGTGACTCAGAAATGCAAAATATTCACATCTGAGCAGCGAAACCAGAGAAGTTTCTTAAAAAGACAAAGATTTTGTTCTCTTTGAGTGTTTGCTGAGTTCTTACTTAGCGCGCTCGGCTTCATGCATGAGGACGGCTGTCGTCACTGAGTCGCTGCGTCGTCTGTTTCAGGTTCGTCTGCCTCTATCCCATCTACATCAACAGTAAGAAGACGCTGGCTGAAGGACGAAGGATCTCCGTGGAGAAGGTGACGCTTTAACGTTCATGTGTTTGATGACTACGCGCGCTCGCAGCCTGTGTGACGTGTTTTTGTAGATGAAAACGGCATAAAGATCATTAGAGCTCGTGCTGTGCGTCTACAAGGAGACGCACGACTGCTGAAAGATTCGTTTTTTTAAATGAGTAAAAATCATGACGCACAAGTGTTTGTAGCATAACATGGAAACAGCCTCTGATGAGCCTGAATGATCGTGTTTGATGTTACCTCTGAAAGCTGAGCTGTGAACTTAACTCATCTTCTTTTAAAGGATTTTACAGTCGACTGAAACACGAGATAAGTGTGAAGAAACCCTGAAACAAAAAGTTTCACTGTGAAAAGGTTGATTCTGTCCATGAGCAGTGGGCTGGAGGTCAGCTTATCATCAATAATATGCAAATTCTCGTGACCATTGATCAAAGATCAGGGTCATTGATCAGCAGCTGTTGATCATCATGAAACGTTTCTCCCACTGAAAACATCCAGATGAACAGAATCAACCTTTTGGGATTTCCTTACCTGGATGACTGATCGGGCATCAGGACATCTGCTGCTCGCTCAAATGTACTGAAGTAAAATAAACAGGAAGTGGCGTGCTGAGTGTGAACGTGCTGCTGTGTCTGCAGGCGGTGGAGAATCCGTCCTGCACTGAGATCAGAGACGTGCTGGCGGCTGCAGGGATGAACGTCTACATGGAGGTAACACACACAC